TAGTTCCTGGTCACCGTGACCAGAGAGGAAGAGGCGAAGTCTGCACAGATTAAGCAGACTTGGTCTGCTTAACGATTATAGTGTTAAGCAGACCAAGTAAGGAGTTTTTGTATGGGGGGCAATGAGAGAGTGTCGAATTTGGTCAAGATAAAAAGTGAATTGCTATTTTGATAGGTGAGGCTTATTTGAACAAATAGAAGTTTCATAATAATTAGGTTTTTTACAAGTGTATTGATATGTTTTCTACGAAATATCAATGGCTAGCTAGAACTTTCCCACCTGATCTCGCCTCCTCCCGCCTATCTTTCGCCTTTGCGGACATGTATTTCCATTGTTAGAGTGGTCAGTCAACCATCTTGTGAATATAATAGATCATCTTTGCTGTGACCTGCTCCGGGTCCTCTCTGACCGTGGGAGTTATGATCAGGCACCTGGTGAGACACCCAGCTATGATTGCAATTAAAATGCTTAACACAGCTTCTTATGAGCAATAGGCAACTATACCAGACAATGTAAGTCAGCAGGCCAACATTCAGTCCTGACTGATTGCACTCTGCTGTATGTTGTCTCAAACACTGGAAATAACCTCTAATAATAATAATAATAGTTTATTTTATATATTTTTTTAGGGGATAGATCAGCTTTAATACTGCAGATAGATTGTGGCTTCCATCAATGAAATTGTCTGCATCACTTCCAATCCCCCATATCTTTTTTTGTAAATATATATATAAAATATATAAATAAAAAATATATATTTTCCTTTATTATTTTCCCCTAACCCTGCCACCCCCCCTCTAATTGGAGTAAACTAATGGACAACAACACTTAGACTTCTACTTCCGGCTTATTCATACTATATCCATTTTACGGACACAGTATATTTTACAATAGTTATCTTTTGTTTGTTTTTAGTCTCATCCTTCAGCTACCCTCAACCCCTTCCATCTATCTCTGAACACCATCCAGTTTTGATTTCTATTTGCCATATATTTTTCAACTTATGTTTCACAAATGTTCTGAATCTTTCTATTCTCATAGTTTCTACACATTGTAAATTAAAGATACACATTTTTGCTAAGAGTATTATTACATTATTGATAGATTGACTATGACTTTTCAAATCACCAGCAGTGCTATTTGCAGAGTTAGCTCCAGGTAAATGTTGCAATTCTTCAGCCATTCCTGAACCTGCAACCAAAAACAAGCTACATATGGACAATACCAAAACAAATTATCTAATGATTCTGTCTCTTCGCAGCAAAATCTGCAGAGCTGGGATGGTTGTATCCCCCATATATATAACATTCTATTGGTTGCAAGAATTTTGTATAATAATTTAAATTGAAAAACTCTAGATTGACAAGATTGATTTGAATTCAGGACAATTCCGGACACATAATACTATTTTTTCTGCCATCCCCTGTAAAATGACCTGCTCTCTTCCCTTCTCCTATCTCTCTCTTCTCCGATTCTGTACTGTATCCAATCTTTTTATCCTGACCCCCGCCCCCCTCTTGTCCTTTGTGTGTGACTCTATGCTCCTGGTTTGGGGATTCTGATCCGTCTGGATTACTGTAGGCCAGCCATATTCAAAAGGAGCACCGCGGGTCAGATCTGGACCAAGAACAGGGTTAATACGGACCACGGGTCCCGACTATTAAAATAATATAGGTATTTATTTATTATGAATTCAGTCGAGATTCAACTCCTGGTATCATATGAACACACATAAAAGAGAAAAGAGCTTTAAAACTGCTACATTTTCCCTTCGTTACATGGCAAAAGTGTAGAATTGCAAAAACATTTTATCTGCCAACAAGATGGTTGTGAACAATTTGGGTTTGCAAGGGTTGCGCAGTTGGGGGTTTGTTACTACGCCGATAAATAACAATATCCATCTAGACCTTTGCCACCTAGGAAATTGTGTGACCAGACCTTCTGAAATAGTATTTGAGTACCCCTGCTGTAGGCAGTAAATCTCTGCCTCTGTAACCCTGTACTGACAGGTGACAGCTTTCCATTGCTTGGCCAGAACAACATGAGTTTGTGTGGTGTGTGATGAGAAAACTTATGCTTTAGCTCAGTAGGCTAACAGTGTCTTGCTTCATGCCAATGTTGTTGCCGCTCAACCAGAATAGTAACATGCAAAGCATACACGTGCAGGGGTTGGAGCCGGTTCAGCGAACAGAACCAAAACCTGAAAATAATGAACATTTTCAAGGAACAGAACCAAAACCGAGAACAAAAGGGATCTATACAGTTCTGGAACAGAACCATTATTTTAAAAGCACGGGAACTGGTTAATAACATTATTTTACGTTCTGGGCATTGTTTTCCAGTCCCACAAAAAACGAAAAACAAAGCACCTATGCAAAGCCCTCACTGTCACTCAAAAACGTATTCCAGTGTCTGCCTGCCTGCCAGCTGAAAATCTTTACCAGTGTGTGTGTAGGCTGCCTGCCACTCTCCCTCCCTCCGAAGCATGAATAGTCTGCTGTAGCTACTGATGTCCAACGTTAGTTAAACCAACTCTTTGAAGTTCAAAGACATTCAAAGTTCTTTCATAGAAGCTGCTCCTCCGTAGGTATAATTCTGTGGGCCTAATTCAGATAATGCATGTCATAACAACAAGATGTCCAGCGCTTCATTACCAGCACTATCCTCGTCCAATGGCCGATGAGCACCGATACGTTTTATCTATAATTTATCTTCATTATTTCTCTTCATATGACAAGGATTAAAGAGGATTTGCCAGTAGATTGTCGAGTTGATTCGTGATGATGACTGCTAGCTAAAATTTTGAAAGTATGATGTTGACATGATCAGTCCAATCAAAGCTACTGTAGATATAATGTGATTTGACGTCATTTTATCTGTGGCCAATGACCTTGAGCCTTCTTGGATGGGCACTTCTAATGTAACTCTATGGCAGCACCCAAGGGGCTTGAATTTTCGAGCTCTACCCTTAGATTTGGAAGTGACATGAGTGACAGAACCCTGAGCCAATCACGGCGCAACTAGAGAACATTACCAACCCCTACGCTCCGTATTTTCCGCTGGCTGCCCCACCACCACAGAAAGCACTGAGCTAGGCTAAAACACCTGCATTTTGGAGCTGCCTTACTCAAGAAAGCAAAAAAGTGGCTTTATTAAATATATATTTTTAAAAATGTTTTAACATTGTTTGCAAACTGATATGTGACACGTATTAATGCCAAAGGACATGTTTTTTTTTGTTTTTTTGGCAAAAAATGTGGGGCTCAAAACAGGTGGGGCTCTGCTACAGTCGGAAACCCGCAATTGGGCAGCCCATGCACAAATATCAAACAGCTGATTGTTGAGTTGTGGCTGTCAATGTGGCTGTCAATGAACAGTAGGCAGTAGCTAAAAGGCCTTTCACAATATAAATACAAAGATGAGTGAGTGCCACTGGAAAGTTGGTGGGCTATAATTCCAACTCATAGTGTATCCACTATGAGTTGTTTCCTCCGTCCTCCCTCAGCCCCTGGTGTTCAGGGCTGAGCCCTGAATGTTATGAAACTTTGGTGATGCCCCTGCCAGTCAGCACACACACACACATAGAAGATGTATTACACACACTTGGATACCGGTACACTACAGACACTAGTTGCCCATGTTTATTACTGTGTTATTACACCACCATGGCTTTCCTTGCTTTTCCCCAATATAATACTTATTTACAATGTCATGCTAGTACTTGGCACATGGTGAATGAGTTAGTATACTGTTAGAAAAAAGGGTTCCAAAAAGGTTTTTCAGCTGTCCCCATAGGAGCACCTGTTTTGGTTCCAGTTAGAACCGTGTTGGGTTCCATGTAGAACACAAAAAGGGTTCTACCTGGAACCAAAAACGGTTCTTCAAAGGGTTCTCCTATGTAGACAATCAAATAACCCTTTTATGTTCTAGATAGCATCTGTATAGGCAGAGAGAAATCTGATAAGAAACTCAGGTCAAAGTTCCTAAGTTGAACATTAGTTTTTCTAGTTGATTTGATCTTCACTGGGGAAAATGCAAAATCTCAATACGACCAAATGGCATCAGGACTCAAACTCCGAGTGAGCAACAGCCTATTTCCATAGGTAGGTGATGTTACCTTCAGTGCGCACTTCTCCCCCGTCTTCTTATTGGTGCATTCCAGAACCTTCCCATTGATCCCAAACCCAAGGACCTGACTAGATATCTTATAATCGTCTGTCACCGCGTTACGCTTTATCTCCAATTTGGGGTAAACGGACATGGGGAAGTGCGTGGAATCCGTATCCTGTGCCGTCGACACTGCGCTGTCAGTTGGGGCTGGCTGGGTTGGAGGTTCTGATGGGAAGTCTGGTTCTGGCTCAGCCTTCGGCGGTTCCGAAGGTTTCTCCTTACCAATACCATTTTGTAGCATGGTCACACAGATGTCGTGTCTCTGTGAGTGGTCCCCCAGGATAAAAGAACGGACCTCAATAGGCTAATATGATTCGCAAGTGAAATGACGCGCTTGTCCGTAATTTACGCCAAGCAGAAATGACTCCCAGACACCGCAAAGGGCGCGCATTCGGTAGTCACTTTCGCTTGGCCAGTTCCTGTGTGCCTTGGGATGTTTAAAACACTTGAAAAGACAATAGCCTACGAAACAATAGTCCCACTATTAAAAAAGTTTTATACTAAAAGTTTTCTAAAATTGAAAAATAAAATAGAAAAATACTTTACAGGAGGCCTATATACTACAGTAGCCTACTGACATTCTTCAACCAATTATTCAATTCAAGTTCAATTCAATAATCCTGTATATCCACGGGTTTTAAAAAAATATCACAATAAACATGTCCACATCTGAGTAGGCTATAGTAGAAAATAGGGATTTCTTGTCTGATGACTTCGGTTAAACTGGCCTCGTCACTTTCCAACGTCCTTCCGTTACATTCACATGGGCTACTGACTGGGGAGGTTGCGTAAGCATTACCCTCTACTTAAATCATATTTCTCTACCGGCTGTCTCTTAAAGGAGCGGTACAGTTGGCAAATAATTAGTAGTCAGGGTAGGGTTGAGTTGAATGGAATCAAATAAAAATGTTTCCCCTGAAGACTAACTACAAGTAGGCTAGTTTCTATGCAATAAATTCTATACTCAGATGTCAGATTACTGTATATATTGGATTAGGTGTTTAAAATGACTGCCAGTGTTAGCTAAGCAGGTGATGCCACCTGCTTCAGTTTTCAAGGATATCCATCCCTCTCTCCTTACACCCACCCCTCTATATACACTACATGACCAAAAGTATGTGGACATCACTTAAAAATAGTGGATTTGGCTATTTCAGCCACACCCATTGCTGGGAGGTGTATAAAATCGAGCACACAGCCACGCAATCTCCATAGACAAACATTGGCAGTAGAATGGCCTTACTGAAGAGCTCAGTGACATTCAACGTGGCACCGTCATAGGATGCCACCTTTCCAACAAGTCAGTTCGCCAAATTTCTGCCCTGCTAGAGCTGTACCGGTCAACTGTAAGTGCTGTTATTGTGAAGTTGAAATGTCTAGGAGCAACAACGGCTCAACCATGAAGTGGTAGGCCACACAAGCTCACAGAACGGAACCGCCGAGTGCTGAAGCGCGTAGCACGTAAAAATCGTCTGTCCTCGGTTGCAACACTCACTACCAAGTTCCAAACCGCCTCTGGAAGCAACGTCAGCACAATAACTGTTTGTCGGGAGCTTCAGGAAATGGGTTTCCATGGCCGAACCAGCCACACACAAGCCTAAGATCACCATGCGCAATGTCAAGCGTTGGCTGGAGTGGTGTAAAGCTCGCCACCATTGGACTCTGGAGCAGTGGAAACGGGTTCTTTGGAGTGATGAATCACGCTTCACCATCTGGCAGTCCAATGGATGAATCTGGGTTTGGCGGATGCCAAGAGAAAGCTACCTGCATAGTGCCAACTGTAACGTTTGGTGGAGGAGGAATAATGGTCTGGGGCTGTTTTTCATGTTTCGGGCTTGGCCCCTTAGTTCTAGTGAAGGGAAATCTTAACGCTACAGCATACGATGACATTCTAGATGATTCTGTGCTTCCAACTTTGTGGCAACAGTTTGGGGAAGGCCCTTTCCTGTTTCAGCATGACAATGCCCCTTTGCACAAAGCAAGGTCCATACAGAAATGGTTTGTCGAGATCGGTGTGGAAGAACGTGACTGGTCAGCACAAAGCACTGACCTCAACCTCATCGAACACCTTTGGGATGAATTGGAACGCCGACTGAAAGCCAGGCCAAATCGGCCAACATCAGTGCCCGACCTCACTTATGCTCTTGTGGCTGAATGGAAGCTAGTCCCCGTAGCAATGTTCCAACATCTAGTGGAAAGCCTTCCCAGAAGAATGGAGGCTGTTGTAGCAGCAAAGGGGGGACCAACTCCATATTAATGCCCATGAATTTGGAATGAGATGTTCGACGAGCAGGTGTCCACCTACATTTGGTAATGTAGTGTATGTGTTCTTGTGAGTACCTTGGCCTGCCATATGTCAGGTACTTTGTTGATGAACAGGCTGTTGGCCATAAGCTCCAGTTCTGATGACCTCACCACTAAGCACTTTAGGGCCTTCACTATATCACTGAGGCTCTGGGATATGACCGCTAACAACCGGTTATACCTGAGAGAGAAGGGTGGGTGGATGGGGGATTAGAAAGAGATAGAGAATATGGGGCAGAAGGTAGCCTAGCGGTTATATCTTTGAGCCAGTAACCGAAAGGTCGCTCGTTTGAATACCCGAGCCGACAAGGTGACAAATCTGTCAATGTGCCCTTGAGCAAGGCACTTAACCTTCCAGGGGCGCCGTACTAACCCCAATTTCTTCCAGGGGTGCCGTACTACTATGGCTGACCCTGTGAAACAACACATTTCACTACACCTATCAGGTGTATGTGACAATAATTAAGAACATATAGTATAACTATAGAAGAGCTCTCTGATATGGAGGATTGGGATGGTAACTGGAATTGGCTTGAGGTTAATGGTGGGAGAAGAAGATATGGCACTGACAGGATGTTAGGGACTTCAGCAGTGATTTGGGTACTTAGTCATCACATCCTGAACACTGATAATAATAATAATAATAATATGCCATTTAGCAGACGCTTTTATCCAAAGCGACTTACAGTCATGCGTGCATACATTTTTTTTTGTGTATGGGTGGTCCCGGGGATCGAACCCACTACCTTGGCGTTACAAGCGCCGTGCTCTACCAGCTGAGCTACAGAGGACCACATAGAGACAAACAAGACGCATTACCAGCCCAGCCTTAAGTCATTCAAATTTACAACACACAATAACTCAATACAAGATACCATTCTGCTCAAGATACCATTCTGTTGACATGCTAACATAGCTTAACTAATCAGTTCTGTACAAGGTCACGCCCCCCCCTGACCTTGTACAGAACTGATTAGTTAAGCTATGTTAGCATGTCAACAGAATGGTATCTTGAGCATTTCCTATGAGCTTTTGTTAACAAGAAGAATGTAACCAATGTTCTCTGTTAAGCTTAAACTCAAATCTGTTGATCTTTGCAAAGTCTAACATCTAAAACAGTAAGAGTTATATAAGCAACAAATATAAGTAAGACAAGTTCAAAACCGGTTTCTTGCTGGTGTAGAGTTTCAGCGAGAGAGGACAAAGGAGAGGACACACACACAGACACACAACAGAAATAAGGACTCTGAACCATACAAAAAATGCATACTCTTGCTAGCGGTATTTGTTTCAGCTGATAGTTCAAATATATGTAATAAGAATGACATTTCAATGACAATAGGAACCAATTTGGAATATGTGCAGTGTGTGTCAGACAGAGGACAAGGACGTGTAAAGCGTTACAGGGAGAGAAGAGAGATAAGTTACAGGACTGCAGACAGGAGAGAAGTGTATGAATAGTGGAGTGGAGAATAGCTAGCACAAAAGGACCAGAGATAAAAGGGTAGGACATGAGAGGAGACAAAAGAGAAAGAAGGAGAGGGGAGATGAAAAGAGAAATACCAAAGGAAGAGAAAGGGAGAGAGAGAGAGAGTGTCTTCCCCACCTTGTAGGGGACGTCCTGGTACTCCTCCAGGAACATCTTGAGCTGGCTGATACAGATGCACAGGTCACCGTCAATTAACTCATATGGGATGTTCAACCCCAGTGGGCCGAACTTCCTGCGCTCAATGGTATTCCCGTGGAACAGGCGGAGACAGGAGCAGGGACTTAAGCTCTGCAGCCTGGAAAGGAAAGAAGAGGAGGAGCAGGGGACAGTGTTAGGTGAGGGGTCTGTATATGTTGTTTTCCACTTGAATTACACAATACAGTCACAGTATGGTATGGAAGTGAGAGGAGCCAGACCCTGGTGCAGGTAGTGATGAAGTCATCATTCAGGCTCAGGGAAGTCTTCAACAGGTTAGCCTTGATGCCTCTGGGAGGCTCTATGGTCATCTTATAGCCATTCTGGAGGATAGACACTGGGAACTTGCTGCTGGGCATGCTGGTGAGCCACAGACGGAAATCCCGGTGTACCTGAAGAGGGGTGAACAGGGGTGTTGGCAGGTTTAAGAGTGACAAAGGTTTCTACATCTCGCTTCACTGAGTGTACAAAACCTTATGAGCACCTGTTCTTTCCATGAGATACAGTGCCTTCGGAAAGTATTCAGACCCCTTGACTTTTTCCACATTTTGTTACGTTACAGCCTTATTCTAAAATTGATGAAATAAAAAATGTTACTCAGCAATTCTAAAATTGATGAAATAAAAAATGTTACACACAATAACCCATAATGACAAAGCAAAAAAAGGTTTTTAGAAATCTTTGCACATTTATAAAAATAAAAAAAACAGAAATACCTTATTTACATAAGTATTACATGAGGACTCTTCCTAGAGCTGGCCGCATGGCCAAACTGAGCAATCGGGCGAGAAGGGCCTTGGTCAGGGAGGTGACCAAGAACCCAATGGTCACTCTGACAGAGCTCCAGAGTTCCTCTGTGGATATGGGAGAACCTTCCAGAAGGACAACCATCTCTGCAGCACTCCACCAATCAGGCCTTTATGGTAGAGGGGCCAGACGGAAGCCACTCCTCAGTAAAAGACACTTGACAGCCCGCTTGGAGTTTGCCAAAAGGCACCTAAAGACTCTAAGACCATGAGAAACAAGATTGGCCTGAATGCCAAGTGTCACATCTGGAGGAAACCTGGCACCATCCCTACAGTGAAGCATGGTGGTGGCAGCATCATGCTGTGGGGATGTTTTTCAGCGGCAGGGACTGGGAGACTAGTCAGGATCGAGGGAAAGATTAACGGAGCAAAGTACAGAGAGATCCTTGATGAAAATCTGCTCCAGAGTGCTCAGGACCTCAGACTGGGGCGAAGGTTCACCTTCCAACAGGACAACGACCCTAAGCACACAGCCAAGACAACGCAGGAGTGGCTTCGGGACAAGTCTCTGAATGTCCTTGAGTGGCCCAGCCAGAGCCCGGACTTAAACCTGATCGAACATCTCTGGAGAGACCTGAAAATAGCTGTGCAGCAACGCTCCCCATCCAACCTGACAGAGCTTGAGAGGATCTGCAGAGAAGAATGGGAGAAACTCCCCAAATACAGGTGTGCCAAACTTGTAGCGTCATACCCAAGAAGACTTGAGGTTGTAATTGCTGCCAAAGGTGCTTCAACAAAGTACTGAGTAAAAGGTCTGAATACTTATGTAAATGTGATATTTCAGTTTATTATTTTATTTTTATAAATTTGCAAACATTTCTAAAAACCTGTTTTTGCTTTGTCATTATGGGGTATTGTGTATAGATTGATGAGGGGGGAAAACAATGTAATACATTTTAGAACAAGGCTGTAACGTAACAAAATGTGGAAAAAGTCAAGGGGTCTAAATACTTTCCTAATGCACTGTAGACAGACCAGGTGAATCCAAGTGAAAGCTATGATCCCTTATTGATGTCAATTGTTAAATCCACTTCAATCAGTGTAGATGAAGGGGAGGAGACAGTTTAAAGAAGGATTTTTAAGCCTTGAGACAATTGAGACATGGATTGTGTATGTGTGCCATTCAGAGGGTGAATGGGCAAGACAAAAGATTTAAGTGCCTTTGAACGGGGTATGGTAGTAGGTGCCAGGAGCACCGGTTTGTGTCAAGAACCGCAACGCTGCTGGGTTTTTCACGCTCAACAGTTTCCTGTGTGTTTTAAGAATGGTCCACCACCCAAAGGACATCCAGCCAACTTGACACAACTGTGGGAAGCATTGGAGTCAACATGGGCCAGCATCCCTGTGGAATGCTTTCGACACCTTGTAGAATCCATGCTCAACGATTTGAGGCTGTTCTGAGTGCAAAAAGGGGGTGGGGGGTGAAACTCAACATTAGGAAGGTGTTCTTTATGTTTTGTACACTCAGTTAACAGTACCAGTCAAACGTTTTATTGTACAATGTAGAAAATAGTAAAAATAAAGAAAAACTCTTGAATGAGTAGGTGTGTCCAAACTTTTGACTGTTTTCAGCTTTGTGTGTGTGTGTGTGTGTTCTTCTAGGTGAGCCCACCTTATCTGGGTCAATGTTGTCAATTCGTTTCTCCACAGAGGGCATCCAGCTGGGTGCTAGGTGGCAATTCTGGAAGAAGACCCACTTGCCCCTCTCCATGGCACTGTGTATCATGGCCTCAGCCCAGGGACCATGACACACAACCACAACACACAGGACCAGTTACACAGCGGTCTCAGATGATACCAACATGGACAGGTAAAACTGTAGAGATCACCAGGCTTAGGTTCAAACCTCATGACTTTGAGCCTGGGCCTAGCTCTTTCTCAGTTATTTCTCAGACTGGCTTGCACGCTTAGTGATGGTGAATGTAGCATTTCTTTAGTAGGGGATACAGGAAACAGAGTAGTCCTCTGGCTAGAAATAGACTGGTAATTAGCACTGAGGTGGGGAGACTAAGCTATTCTTAGCATGAGAAATGAGAGTGATCTCATTGGGAGGACTGATTTACAGTGGGCTGTCCCTTGGGTGTGAATAGTGAGTTTTCCCAGGCATTCCCCAGGCCCTGCTAACCTGCCCCTGGCACAGGGAGATGGCACTAATCTTGGAGAACTTCATGACATCAGCTAATTGAAGAGGTCAGCGGCTGGGTCAGTACCAGGGGAGAGGCAGAAGATAAGGAGCGTGGAGGGGGACAACTCCTTAAATACCACAGACAGATCTGAAGCCTGAGGGAGAGATGGAAGGAAGGAGAAAGGGATGGAAGGAGGGAGGTAGGGAGGTAGGGAGGAAGGAGAGAGGTACAGTACAGAAGGGTGTTTGAGAAACATCAAATAAACAATGAGGTGAGCTACATTGGGAAAAAATCTGATGAGCTCTACAGTGATTGTAAATATTTAAACCAAATGGCTTTAGAATAAACCTGGTAGCAAAGTGTTTACACTGCGATGGATACAGGCCGAACCAAAATTAAACCATAGATGGCATTGACAATAGCAGTGAGGAAAATGCAACTTCGATGTCTTCACTGTCCGAAAAGGCAAATGTGAAACAGTGCTGGTACAGCACCTGTGGCTCCATGAAGCGCTGACACAGCTGAGCAGACACAAAGTCCTGCAGGCTGTGAGTCAAGTGATCAGCCCGCAGGCAGCGCAGGATCAACACACACACACACACACACACACACACACACACACACACACACACACACACACACACACACACACACACAACAGACACACACACACACACACACACACACACACACACACACACACACACACACACCAGTCAGCTATGTGCATCATCTATTGACACACAACAAACTAACATGTGTTGTCTAGGGTTGTCATGGTACTCAGAAGTATCGTGGCAAGGAAACAAAACATGTAGTGGACAAAGTTTCCAGAGAAAACAGTCCTTATCTTGGGAACAGTCTTATAATGTCACTAAGAGTCACATTTGTTTATTTTCCATAAAGCAAGTTCTAAGAGGACCATAAAGTTTAGTCTGCTTGGTGTTTTCTTTTTTGCCATGGAAAATCGGGTATTGCAATACTGGTATCGTGACAACCCTAATTGTGTCTATGATAAATGTGTGTTTGTGTGTGTATATGGCACACCTCTGTGAATCTGTAAGGAATTGTGTGTGGTGTGTGTTTGGGGAAAGACCTGTTTGGCTGGCTGCTGTCAAAGCCCCTTGAAACCCAGCAAGTGTTTGGGGAAGCTCTCTGCCAGGCTGTTGAAGGTGGGCAAAGCGCTGAGGCCCAGGATGTCCTGCCAGGCACGCTCAGACAGCCAGCTCACTGCAGGGTTGGCCAGCTGCTGCTAGGGCGCGCCCCCTGCCAGCGCGTACTGCCACTCATACTGGCAGGGGGGACACAGACAGAGTATGAGCACAGATACACTGTAAACACAACAATACAGACCAAACACCACCAGTTCCTCCTCCTACCATATCGATCTTGTTCTTGTTCATCATGATACGAGCGCACAGCAGGAAGGCGAACATGAGCGGCGCACTTCGATGTACAGGCTGAAGGTGAAGAACTCACTGTTGATGATCCTCTACTCCACCGTGTCCGGGAGGGACACACAGGGCCAACACAATGCAAACAGGAGCAGGTTATTAAGAGTTTATTAGGGGGTTGGATATATTCATGTTAAATGTGGTGCATAACAATGATATATGCTATAAAAAAGTGTTTGGCCAAGAGTTTGACAATGCTGTGGTGTTAATATTTTATCATTCAATTGTGAAAGGGTTGTCATAACATGTGTACAAATATGTGTCTGCATTTATGTGGGTGTGTGAGCTCTCTTTACCTGACATCTCGAAGTTGGCAATGAACGACATGAAGATGCCCAGGAACCACTCCAGGGGGTACTGGTAAATGGGGTCCACGTTGGACAGGTCCAACACGCAGAAGAAAAGGATCTGAGTACGCACGGCCACGGGGACATACTCCAGACGTGTGGCATCAATGTCACGCTCTGTCTCCTCAGCACTATCACTTTGGCCTGACAATGACATCAGCCTGTGTGTGACTGTCATATTGCCTCATCAATGACTCAACAGTTGATTCAACAGTAACAGTATCAGTATCTTCTTCGCAAAGGGACAGAGTTAAAATACATTTAGGAATAACATGTAAAAGCCTATTTTTGGGAAATCCAAAGGGATCAAGTTGAAGTGTGGTGGTCACACTGCTCCCTGAGTCTGAGGACTTGACCTTGGAGGCTCCCAGCACCCGTATGAGTTCCTTATCGTCCACAGGGTTTCCCTCTGTGGAGCTGAGGCAGAAAAGGATCTGGTCTTCTGTCTCCTTCAGCTCCTAGGAGCACTACCCACTATCAGCTGGTTCTTAGCCTCCTCAGGCCTCTCCTCAGCCACCACCCGACCCAGCAGCTGGTCCTCCAGACCACTGCACGCACACATTTAGTTTTTTTCCTCTGCAAACTTGGGGGGCCAAATAAAATCACCCATTTACCTAACCTTTATTTAACTAGGCAAGTCAGTTAAGAACAAATTCTTACTTACAATGATGGCCTACCCCGGCCAAACCCTCCCATAAACCTGAAGACGCTGGGCCGATTGTGCGCCGCCCTATGGGACTCCCGATCACGGCCGGTTGTGATACAGCCCGGGATCGAACCCGGGTCTGTACTGACACTTCTAGCACTGCGATGCAGTGCCTTAGACCGCTGTGCCACTCGGTCCCCTATTGGGGAACCGTGACATTCATATGCTGCTCTTATTCAACAAACACAGCCTGATGGTCAGTCTGCTTTAGAAAAAGATAGCTAAACAGTCTCTACCATGAAAGAAAGGCCGTAAGATATAAGTATATGATAAGAAAATGAGGGATATCCCTCACAGTTTGAGTCGGAGGCCAGGGGTAGACACGAGCAAGGCTTTGTGCATTGAGAGACGAGGTGGCGCTCCTCATTGGCATACAGTTTACAGACAGATGGTAGAGCAGCAGGGCCTCTGTGTTCTCTCTGCAGCGCTGAGCAAGAGTGAGACTTTGTGTATGTTGTATGCTGGTCAACAACATACTGCATTGACACACTAGAAGTAAACATGATTAATTGCCTTTAGTTCTCTGTCCTCCATTAAGGACTGGTTTTCCCTTGGCATCCCTCACTCTGCCATTCCTGTTGGCCTTCTGGACCAGACAAAACCCTTTCTCCTGGTTGTAGTCAAGAACCCCAACAAACTGCCAGCTGTACTCCAGGGTGGGGCTTTTGGGTCCTCTACAGAACCAGAGAGGACGAGAGAAAAGCTCATCACTAAGCTGTCTCAAACTATTTTATATTTTCTGAAGAATTATATGGTACACTGTTCAATACAACAGACACAACCTGTAGGTTACCATCATTTCTATTTGGGACATCCCTCTGTAAACAACCATTTCAAATTAAGAGCTATTCTCAAAGCACCGACCTGGTGGTATCTTGTCAGTGGTGGCCAGCAGAGCTTTGGCAGTTGCGGGTTTGCGATCAGTTAATCCTTTCTCATAGCCCAGGGCAAGCCGGTCTTGAGGAGTGTGACAGTCAAACTCCTCATTGTAAAACAGCTGGGGGAGAAAACCAAGAAATAAGAGTGTGTCAAAAAAGGACCACATTGTAATAGTGTTTTATTAGAAGAAAATGTACGTTTTAAATATGAAGATGTTTGAGGAGCTCACTTCCAGATGCAGGTAGTTTGACACAGGTGGGAGTGGATTCTCTGGTGTTGAGGCATCAGGAGATTGGAGTTTATGCCTTGCTTTGTCAGGAGCTGGGCAATGTCAAGATGCAGGTACTCCTGTCTGCGCCTGAGAGGAAAAACAACACATTTCAGATCGTTAACTACCCATACTGTGTGTGTGTGTATTTAGCTGTGACCCTCACAGATGCACACACCTCTCTATCCAGGCAGGCTGTGTAACCTCCAGTGGACAGACAACTCAGTGTTCTGCTGGTGCTGGGTGGTGGGTCCATGCTTGTGTAAAGGACATCACGCTGCTTTGCTTAGCGAGTACCACTTCCTCCCGATTCAGCCCATACCTAGCGCAAACTCGGGACCTCTGCCTTGCTAGCACACGTGACCGCTCTCCTGAAGTTTCACACATCCATGTGCTACACTTGTCCCTCTCAACCAGGTCAAATGGAGTCTGGAAGGTGGCTACTGAGCAACAGAATACAGATAAAGAAATTGTTAATGGCAGATTATACCAATACATATTTACACATACATAAATGTTAAGCGTGGTCCTCTGTAGCTCAATTGGTAGAGCATGGCGCTTGTAACGCCAGGGTAGTGGGTTCGATCCCCGGGACCACCCACACGTAAAAATGTATGCACACATGACTGTAAGTCACTGTGGATAAAAGCGTCTGCTAAATGGCATATTATTATTTATTAAGTAGCTGATGTATTTCAGTGTTATGTTTATTATCCAACAGAGGCCCTGGGATAACAGTCTAACCTTAAGGAGTGTTGGACTCATAGCGTGCTTGGCGCACAACTCTAGATGCTGTGTTTACAGCTACTGGGAACTCGGACAGGTCTGATTTATAATGGGGAAACACGGTCATGGCTAGAAGGGTAATTAACGTCAGATTTGACTTTTCGTAGCAGGTTAGGAGAACCCTTCTAGCCATGACCGGAAACAAGAGTATGGCATGCACCAAGTTTATAAATCTCTATATTTTTTTGTGTCTTTTCAGAAATTGTGCACGTAGATGTTTAGTGTTACATTTAGGAAACGGTTATAAATGAGGCCCAGGGTACTTTCTGACATGGGGGGAGTTTGCTCCTGTGTTTTTGCAGTGGGGGTAACTTGTGTTCTGTAGATTTTCTAGGGATATGTGGCAAAAATAGGCTCCACCAAACCCATGGGGATGGTTTTGGTGCACTTGCTTTTCTTCCATCTTCAGACACATCTGTAGATATCTGCCTTACAAAATAAGCATCCAAAGTTAGTAGCTAGCTAGCTAAGCATTCCAGCATGCACTGGAGGGGGTGGAGAACGAAGTGCTATCTGGTTAGTAGAGACCCTACTGAGTATTCCCACCCCACTTTAGCTGAGACAGGTACAAAGGTTTTCTACAAGCCAATATGTATCTAATGTACAGCAGTGGAGGCTCATCAGAGGAGGAAGGGGAGGACCATCCTCCTCAGTGAATTTCATTTTTTTAAATTGTGAAACATTAAACAAGTTATCCTTTTTAGCTAAAACTATACTAAATACATTAATGTCACCAAATAATTGATTAAAACACAGTTTTGCAATGGTCTACAGTCGTGGTCAAAAGTTTTGAGAATGACACAAATACACATTTTCACAAAGTCTGCTGCCTCAGTTTTGATGATGGCAATTTGCATATACTCCAGAATGTCATGAAAAGTGATCAGATGAATTGCAATTAATTGCAAAGTCCCTCTTTGCCATGAAAATGAACTTAATCCCCAAAAAACATTCCCACTGCATTTCAGCCCTGCCACAAAAGGACCAGCTGCCATCATGTCAGTGATTCTCTCGTAAACACAGTTGAGAGTGTTGACAAGGACAAGGCAGGAGATCACTCTGTCATGCTGATTGAGTTAGAATAACAGGCTGGAAGCTTTAAAAGGAGGGTGGTGCTTGAAATCATTGTTCTTCCTCTGTTAACCATGGTTACCTGCAAGGAAACACGTGCCGTCATCATTGCTTTGCACAAAAAGGGCTTCACAGGCAAGGATATTGCTGCTAGTAAGATTGCACCTAAATCAACCATTTATCGGATCATCAAGAACTTCAAGGAGAGAGGTTAAATTGTTGTGAAGAAGGCGTCAGGGCGCCCAAGAAAGTCCAGCAAGCGCCAGGACCGTCTCCTAAAGTTGATTCAGCTGCGGGATCGGGGCACCACCAGTGCAGAGATTGCTCAGGAATGGCAGCAGGCAGATGTGAGTGCATCTGCACGCACAGTGAGGCGAAGACTTTTGGAGGATGGCCTGGTGTCAAGAAGGGCAGCAAAGAAGCCACTTCTCTCCAGGAAAAACATCAGGGACAGACTGATATTCTGCAAAAGGTACAGGGATTGGACTGCTGAGGACTTGGGTAAAGTCATTTTCTCTGATGAATCCCCTTTCTGATTGTTTGGGGTATCCGGAAAACACCTTGTCCGGAGAAGACAAGGTGAGCGCTACCATCAGTCCTGTGTCATGTCAACAGTAAAGCATCCTGAGACCATTCATGTGTGGGGTTGCTTTTCAGCCAAGGGAGTGGGCTCACTCACAAAAACACAACCATGAATAAAGAATGGTACCAACACATCCTCCGAGAGCAACTTCTCCCAACCATCCAAGAACAGTTTGGTGATGACCAATGCCTTTTCCAGTATGATGGAGCACCTTGCCATAAGGCAAAAGTGATAACTAAGTGGCTTGGGGAACAAAACATTGAAATGTTGGGTCCATGGCCAGGAAACTCCCCAGACCTTAATCCCATTGAGAACTTGTGGTCGATCCTCAAGAGACGGGTGGACAAACAAAAACCCACAAATTCTGACAAACTCCAAGCATTGATTATGCAAGAATGGGCTGCCATCAGTCAGGATGTGGCCCAGAAGTTAATTGACAGCATGCCAGGGCGGATTGCAGAGGTCTTGAAAAAGAAGGGTTCAACATTGCAAATATTGACTCTTTGCATAAACTTAATGTAATTGTCAAGCCTTTGACACTTATGGTGCTTGTAATTATACTTCAGTATACCATAGTAACATCTGACAAAAATATCTCATAACACTGAAGCAGCGAACTTTGTGAAGACCAATACTTGTCATTCTCAAAACTTTTGACCACGACTGTACAGTAGCCACAACAGCACTCTGTAGGGTAGCACCATGGTGTAGCCGGTGGACAGCTAGTTTCCGTCTTCCTCTGGGTACATTGACTTCAATACAAAACCTAGGAGGCTCATGGTTCTCAACCCCTTCCGTAGACTTACACAGTAATTATGACAACGTCCAGAGGACATCTTCCAACCTATCAGAGCTCTTGCAGCATGAACTGACATGTTGTCCACCCAATCAAAGGATCAGAGAATCCAGTACTGAAAGGACAAGGTACAGCTAGCTAGCACTTCAGTGCATACAATGTGGTGGGTAGTTGACTCATTAGAGAGAGAAAAAATAGTTGAACAGTTTTGAACAAATTATTTAAAAAATGTAAATGAAAGAAAAGCAAGAACGAGAGAGAGAGCTAGCTATATTTCATTGTATTTTATTTTTCACTTTCACTTAGCTAGCGAATGCAGCTACCTAGTTTAGCCTCCTCAAACAGAGAGGGATGCTATGTTAGCTAGCTGGCTATGGCTATCCAACACTGGAACTCTTCCAAGTCAAATTAAGCTTTAGGTTTTATTAATGTATTGCCACTGCTAAACTGCTTGCTGACTGTACACTGTAGTGCATGATTGTAGCAGGTTTACTAACACGTTAGTTCTAGTAGCTGTGTTGACTATGATGTTAGCTAATATGGTGACAACGATGTAGGCTGTGTGTAGCGGTTAGCGGTTATGATATGAAGGTTTGGCTTGGAAAGTTTTTTTTCGCTTGGCCACAGACAGCTGATGTGTTGTGCACTGAAGTCCACAAACGAAGGGAAAAGGTAAGAGGAGGAGATCGCATAGATGCGACGAAGGAATTATACAACGAGCAAAATGATCATGCTGTTTGTATTTGTATTTGTATTTATTATGGATCCCCATTAGCTGCTATGAAAGTGAACTGTGTTGGCGTGTGATCAGGGGTGTATTCATTCTGCCGATTCTGTTGAAAAACATTTCTTAAATGGAAGCAAGCAGAACGAACGAAACGATACCTGAATTAGTCCAATAGAAACTCTCGTTTTCAACTGTTGGACTAGATCAGCTAAATGCAGGCAAGAGTACGTGTGCAAGGCGGTATTGTATGTGTCACTGTCTGTCACCTATTTTTATCTCGTTGTAAACTTTCATTCATAGGCTAGGATGTATACTGAACAAAAATATAAACACAACATGTAAAGTGTTGGTCCCATGTTTCATGAGCTGAAATAAAAGATCCCAGAAATTTTCCATATGCACAAAAAGCTTATTTCTCTCAAATTTTGTGCACAAATTTGTTTACATCCCTGTTAGTGAGCATTCCTCATTCGTCAAAATAATCCATCCACCTGACAGGTGTGGCATATCAAGAAGCTGATTAAACGGCATGATCATTACACAGGTGCACCTTGTGTTGGGGACAATAAAAGGCCACTCTAAAATGTGCAGTTTTGTCACACAACACAATGCCACAGAAGTTTTGAGGGAGCGTGCAATTGGCATGCTGACTGCTGGAATGTCCACCAGTCGTTGAGTTCATTTCTCTACCATAAGCCACCAACGTCGTTTTAGAGAATTTGGCAGTACGCCCAACCGGCCTCACAACCGCAGACCACGTGTAACCATGCCAGCCCAGGACCTCCACATCCGGCTTCTTCCCCTGCAGGATCATCTGAGACCAGCCACCCTGACAGCTGTTGAAACGGAGGAGTATTTCTGTCTGTAACAAAGCACTTTAGTGGGGAAAAACATATTCTGATTGCCTCGGCCTTGCTCCCCAGTGGGTGGGCCTGGCTCCCAAGTGGGTGGGCCTATGCCCTCCCAGGCCCACCCATGGCTGCGCCCCTGCCCAGTCATGTGAAATCCATAGATTAGGGCATAATACATTTATTTAAATTGACTGATTTCCCCAGAGGTGCCTTATTGCTGTTACAAACTGGTTACCAACGTAATTAGAGCAGTAAAAAAAATGTTTTGTCATATCCGTGGTATATGGTCTGATATACCACAGCTGTCAGCCAATCAGCATTCAGGGCTCGAACCACCCAGTTTAAAATACAGTGCATTGCATTGGGGGCTATGGAGGGGACAGAGTGAAAAGCCAGCAGCCGGCCGTGCGACAAAGTTCTCCTCCAAAACTAACAATATTTG